GAGAGAAAGAAAACCCTCAGATTAATCTCTCCATTGTACACTTGGAATGGATTCAGCGTTTTGATTGATGGCTGAGCACTGATAAGCCTTTCCTGCAAGCCATCTCATAGCATATTTGGTTTTATCCCCAGTAGAAGGCTCTTTCAGGTTTACCAGCAGAGATAGAGAGCTTTGTAACCTTACTACCCTGAGAGACTTGTTCACATGATGTCATTTCTTTTTTAAGATTTTCTGAGTTTACAGCATCTTTTAGAAAAGTTTCAACATTTCCCTGGTCTGCTCAATCTATTAAACAAACAAACAAACAAAAAAAGCAAAAGCTTAAGACTGAGAACATTTGGTACTGAGAAACTGGGTATGCAAAGGGTGTGACTATGGTATTCGTCTTTGGTACGTGGGGCTCCTCTCTGACCTCACTTTGTATCTGATGCTGCAACTCCACCAAGAAGTAAAAGAGAAGGTGGCCTAGGAGTAGGAGCTGGTTTGCTGCTTAGAGGCAGAAAAGGAAACGAGGTTCTCACATGGGAGCCATACAGTCTTTCAGCAGGGTCCTTCTGAAAGATTGTTTCTGAAGTAGTATGAGTAATCTGCTAAGTATTTTCTTGTAATAGTTACAGAAATTATCTGGCTGCTTTCTACTTTTAAGGTTTCTCTCAATACCCTGCTTTCAAGTAAATCTCATCTCTGTTCTGGCTCTAATGAGTTTTTCTGAGCTGCATTCAGACGTCAGACTATTTTCTTTCCTTATGCTTTTGGGATCTATAGATTACATTTTTAAAAATTGGAAATGGGGGCTGGCACTGTGGCATAGCAGGTGAAGATGCCGCCTGCAGTGCTGACATCCCATGTGGGTGCCAGTTTGAGTCCCAGCTGCTCCACTTCCAATTCAGCTCTCTGCTATGGGCTGGGAAAGCAGTAGAAGATGGTCCAAGTCCTTGGGCCCCTGCACCACATGGGAGACTCAGAAGAAGCTGCTGGCTCCTGGCTTTGGATCGGCGCAGCTCCACCTGTTGCAGCCATTCTGGGGAGTGAACCAGTGGACAGAAGATCCCCCTCCCCCTTCTCTCTCTCTGTAACTCTGCCTTTCAAATAAATAAATAAATCTTTTTAAAAAAAAAATTCAAAATGGCATCAGTAGTAGTGGCAAGGACAGGGTTGCTTAGCTGATCTCATACTTTGGTGGCTTAGTTTCTATTGAATGTTTACAGAAAATAATCAGCCACCGTTTTCTCAAACTTCTATGGGCAAAGCAGCTCTCTCACCCAGAGGCGCCCATATTTAGGTCAGCCATAGCATTGCAAAAACACCCCAGAAAACATTATTTAAAGTACTGTTAAGCTTTGCTGTGTCCTGTGAACCAAACAGAAAAGTTAGCATCCAATGTGTTTGTTTATGCATTTAAGTAAAAAAATCATGTTTACCATAAAAATAATATGCACTGTATACAACTAAAATAAAATGAGTTTCATATTTTAGAAGGTCAGTACCATGTGCCTGTACAGGGCTTCAGACATGGTAAACATTACTATGGTCTGAATGTGGATACCTGGCAAAACTTGCAGGTTGAAACCAAATTGTCAACATGATAGTATTCAGAGGCGGGGCCTTGGTATGTGATTAGGTCATGGGGCAGAGCTCTGATGGATGGGATTAGTGCCCATACAAATGAGGTGTTAGAGAGCTGCCTCACCTCTTCCACCATGCAAGGAGCAGCTAGAAAGCAGCACTGCGGAAGAATCAGAGAGTAGGTCTTCACCATACTCTAGGCTGCTGATTTCTTGACCTCCAGAGCTGTAAGAAATAAATTTTTGTTTTTTATAAACTACCAGCTTAATACGTTTTGTCATGCAGTCCTCATGGGCAAAGATAGATACCGAGTACATTTTTTAATTTTGGTTGGTGTTACCCAGAGACATAAACTTATAAAAAGGAAATGACTTTTAGAGATGCTAAAAACTCCCTTGCAGTTGAAGAATCTGCCACCTGTTGTCCCTGGTAAATTCACACTCAACCCATGCTTTATGATCCTCAGGGATCAGTAGATTTTTTCTTTACTTCAACCTTCTCCATGAATGTGAATGTTCCGCAGACCAGCAGAGATGAAACTCAAGCCTCAAATAAGAAAGCATTTAAATGCCTTAAATGTTAAAATCTCCAGGCAGAGATAATTTATTTAACACTGTTTCCAGATTAATTCTGAAGCTAGATCCAAACAAAAAAGAAAATGTTGATTTAAATTTTTTTTAACCAAAGTAAATTAAAGCAGACTCTTAGGAAATTACTGGATCATGAACCATATCCAGTTCAAAAGGTTACTTGGATATTTATCCTAGAGGGAACATTTGATCCTAACTACCAGTATATAGTATGTGTCAACATTGAAATGCTTTTATTTAAAAATAAGCATGTATAATTGCCAGAAATTTCCTTCAGTGTGGAAAGATGATGATAATACCAATTAATTTTTTTAAATATGTATTTATGTACTTGAGAGGCAGAGTTACAGACAGAAGGAGAGACAGAGAGAGGTCTTCCATCCACTGGTTTACTCTCCAAATGGCTGCAATGGCCAGAGCTGGGCTGATCCAAAACCAGGAGTTTCTTCTGGGTCTCCCACATGGGTACAGGGGCCCAAGCATGTGGGCCATCGTCCACTGCTTTCCCAGGCCATCTGCAAGGAGCTGGATTGGAAGTGGAGCATCCAGGACTCAAGTTGGCACCCACATGCGATGCCGGCACCTCATACAGAGGCTTAACCTACTGTGCCACAGTGCTGACCCCACCAGTTAATATTTGAAACAAAAAAGCAGAGCTGAATTTAATGCTCTCTCTAATAAGGAAGAGCTGTGCCTGCCAGGCAGTTTTTCCGAGCAGAGGAGGCCAATTTTGTATATAGGATTTGTGGAACTTGGAGATTGATGAACTTTCAGAGGCCATAGTAGGTTGACATCACCTGAAAAAGCATGATGAAGATTGCTGGACTGGCATTTGGAGGATGACTTCCTTTCTTGTTAGAGTTTACATGCAGGCAGAGTTAGAGACAGAAAGGTCTTCCTTTTTCTGTTGGTTCACCCCCCAAGTGGCCGCTACGGCCGGCATGCTGCGCTGATCCGAAGCCAGGAGCCAGGTGCTTCCTCCTGGTCTCCCATGCGGGTACAGGGCCCAAGGACCTGGACCATCTGGGACAGAATCCGGCGCCCCAACCGGGACTAGAACCCAGTGTGCCAGTGCCGCAGGCAGAGGATTAGCCAAGTGAGCCACGGCGCTGGCCCAGAGAAATTTTTACTACAGTTGATCTGTTCCTGTTACTACCAGTTGGCTGATCTTCGGTAGTGAGTGGCTGGCAATGATTGATAGATGTGCAAAAGCAAATTATTGGTCACCTTTTGATGACTGCGTATTACCAAAGCTATAGAAAAAGTAGATCTTTTTCCAATTTTGTATAATTTGTGTAATTTTTAGCACAAAATACATGTAATTATTTGTGTAAAGCAAGTATATATTTAAGCATTTTTGAGATATAACTTAAAGGAAATCATAAATATTTGTACAGTAAATCCTTGTGTGACAGCCATCCAGCAATACAGCACATTTCTGTCACCCTGGAATGTTCCATGTATAATTATCCCTCCCCCAGTAGGTATTCTGATACCCATTCCCATGGATTAGTTTTTGGCTGCTCTTGAACTGTATATAAGTGAAAATCTGTAATATTTCTATTCCTCTTAGTGCCTGAGATTTGTTCATGTTTTTGTATGTATTAGTAGTTGTTTTTTTATCACTATGTACTATCTCCTTATGGCTGCATCACAATTCGTTTGTGTAAACTTCTGTTGATAAGACGTTTGGGTCATTTGGGGATATTATAAATAAAGCTCCTATAAAGATTTGTGTACATTTTTTTAAAAAACACTCATTTCTCCTGGATATACAGCTAGGAATAAAATAGGCAGTGTCATTATGGTACATTTTGTTCTTATAGATGCTGCCAAATTATTTTCTAAAGTAGTTGCATCAGTTTGCACTTCACCAACAATTTGAGAGTTCTAGTTTCTCCGTACACTTGCGAATACTTGGAATTGTCATTCTTTTTAATGTCAATGCATGGTATATTTATTTATTTATTTTTGACAGGCAGAGTGGACAGTGAGAGAGAGAGACAGACAGAGAGAAAGGTCTTCTTTTTGCCATTGGTTCACCCTCCAATGGCCACCGCTTCCGGCGCGCTGCGGCCGGCGCATCACGCTGATCTGAAGCCAGGAGCCAGGTGCTTCTCCTGGTCTCCCATGCGGGTGCAGGGCCCAAGGGCTTGGGCCATCCTCCACTGCACTCCCGGGCCATAGCAGAGAGCTGGCCTGGAAGAGGGGCAACCGGGACAGAATCCGGCACCCCGACCGGGACTAGAACCCGGTGTGCCGGCGCCGCAAGGCAGAGGATTAGCCTAGTGAGTCATGGCGCCGGCCTATTTTTTAAAGTTTGATATTTGAAAGGGAGAGGACAGCTGTTCCATCCACTGGTTCTCTCCCCAAATGCCCTCAATAGCCAGGTCTGGGCCAAGCCAAAGCCATAAGTCAGTAAATCCACCTGGGACTCCCACATGGGTGTCAGGAACCCAAGTACTTGAGCCATCATCTGCTGCCACCCAAGATGCACATTAGCAGGAAGCTGGAGTTAGAAGCAGAGCCAAAATTTGAACCAGGCACTCCATGTGGAATGCACGTGTCTGTCTTAAGCAGCATCTTAACCACTGTGTCAGACTGCTGTTTGTAAGTTTGATTTTCAGAAGAGAAGTCCAGATTAGAGATGAGAATTGTCACATGAAATCAGTCAGGAAGAGAATCTGTCCAAGGGCTTAAGTCCTGGGGTCACTCCAGCACATAAAGACGAGGAGAAACTAGCAGAGAAGAATGAGATAGAGCAGCCAGAGATGAGGACAGAGCAAGAAAAACAAACAAACAAAAAACGATGTCCCCAAAGTGAAGAAAGTGTTTTATTTGCAGGTGCTGCTTTTGTTAGATCTTGTAAGATGACGATTGAGCATTGACAGTTGGACTTGGCACTTCACAGGACATTGCTGGCAAGATCAGTTTCAGTGGAGTGAATGGTGGAGGTAAAAGCCAAATTGTAGACGACTTGAGAGATTAAAAGGGTGAGTATTTAGGGCTACTAAATACGATTCTTTCAAGGAGTTTTTCTCTGGAGAGGAATGTGAAATAAAAACAAGGTTTGTTTTTAATTTGAAAGTATATTTCTGTCTTTGCTGATGGGCACAGTCCAGTAAAGACTTTGTATAAGTGAGCAGGGCTGGGATTTGGTCACAAGAGGCAGGATTGGCCTTAAATGAGAGCCTGGACAGTTTAATTCATAAAAGCGAAAGGGAAGGTAGAGCGTATGGGTACATGTGTGGGTGGTTTGGTAGATATGTTAGGAACTTAGATGTCTTTTTATTATTGCATCTCTGTTCTCAGTAAATACGAAGGTCAGTTTGTTAATCAGAGTGAGAAATGAGCAGTATTAAAGGGTTGAGGTGGGAAAAAAATAAGTAAAGTCATTTAAGAGTGTGGAAGAGGGACTGGTCTAGAATTGGAAATGTAGTAGAATTGCCAGGCAGCACTTCTTGACATTGGTGATAATAAATTCTAAATACGGTTGAATGGTTTTCTGTAGTTTAATCTACCACTCTGGTCCTGGTTAGGAATAGGAAGAGATAGTTTTAAGCAGAGTTGGGGTTTTGCCAGAGGACTTGCAGACAGAGAGAGCCAAGGATGTTGAGTTATGGCAGGATATGCTTATTGGTGAGAATAAGAACTAGGACCATCAGAAGAGCAAAGGGCAAGGAACTCATAACCAGATATTAGAATCAGCTGCATATATGATTAAATTTGTGACCATCTCTTCTAAAAGTTTGACCAGTAAACATTGAAAAATACTGGGAAGAAAATAAGTTAGAACAGTTGTGTGATTTTTCTTAATGTCAATTTATTTGCTTATTTCACTTTTTAGATTCAACCCTTTGCAAAGATGATACCAGACATGGTATTAACAAAGACATATGCTTTGAGTTAGCCTCCTCATTTCTTTATGGAAAAAAAATGGAAATTCATCAGAACTTATATTTAACTTCAGAGATTCGATGACTGGTGATCACATATTTTGTTTCCTTTTTAAGTGAGGAATATTAGCAGAGAACGCTGCAAACCAAGCTGAAATGGGTTGACACTGAGGGAAAAAAAGGAATAGTATAGAGGCTGGAATGTATTAGTAGAAGTATCAAAGGCTGATCTTCAGTCCCCATTTATTATAATAAGGGGTATAGCGTTAGGAAGCAAGATGGTACTAGGTACCTGGGGAACTAGCAAGGAGGAACTACCAAAAAGAAAATGGAGACTGATACTTGATCCAGTTAGTTCCAATTAAGTCTGACTTTGAGCCACTGGGTGCTGTATCTGGTGATGGCAAGTCAGTGAGGAGTAAGATCTTGGAGAAAAGCTCTGCCCTGGCGAATGGCTAACTCTAATACAGTGTAACTGTTGGTTTGAGTGAGACTGAGGGGAGCTTTGAAGAGGTAGCTGGGATAGGATTTCACATCATGGTCAGGCAACAGCTTTGTCTTAGCAGAGATCCAATTCCAGACTACCAATAGATATATAGTCTCCTAAAAACTACTAACTTTAGTCATAAAAGCCTGGTACATATGCCAAAATGTCAACTTGCCAGTTTACCGTGAGGAAAACTGCATGGATAGCCAAGTTTTAATGAGAACATGACTTGGTGAGGATGGAGAAGAAAAAAGGGGAATATTTCAGAGAAGATAGGTTATTTCAGTGGGGGCCTTGAAGAGTGTGTAAGGGTTTAGTTAAGGACAGAGGTATGTGGGCAAGAATACATATTTTTTTTTCTGGAGAGGGAGCATAGTAAGCAAAGGCATAGAGACCTGAAGTTTGTGGCCTGTTAGAGTATCGGCCATGTTGTGGGGGGCAGCTGGAGAGAAAATACCGGAAGACTAACTACAACAGATTGTGAACTGTGTATCTCATACTGAGGAATTTTGACTTTCTCTTGAAGGTCAGGGGTTGGCAAACTTTCCCTATAAAGAGCTGATAGTAAATATTTTAGGTTTTGTAGGCCATCTGGTCTCTGTTGCAGTTTTTAAACTCTGCCATTATAGCACAAAACCAGCTATAGACAACACAAAGGAATGAATACGACTTTTCCAATAAAACATTCACAGGCAGCAGGCCACATCTGGCCCACTGGCCATATCGCCTAATCTTGTGTAATATAAATCTATTTAAGGTTTTGAACTAAGCAATGTGATCAGTTGTGTGCATTAAAAAACAAACAGATAAGAGTTTGAAAACCTCTAGCCCACCCTGTAGAAATGGTGATGAAATTGGAATTGGTAACTCAGACGTAGACTATATCTCGGAATCATGTAATGCCACTGGTTTGTTGTTGTTGTTGTTGTTTTACATATGTCAAGGCCTTATTCTCTAAAAATGTGAAACTGGAAAGTAAGTAGAATTTTGTTAGTGTTTCTCAAAGCCATGTAATTCATAACCCCTTTTAAATGAAAAATATTGTGCCTCCTAGTGTTAACTGATGAGTTTTGCAGAAACTAAATTACTATTGGATAGGAGTGAAGCACCGATTTGCTTCTGCAAGTTCTCTTTGAGCCCATTATGCCCCTCCTACCATCTGCCTTGTCCATTTTTCCATTTGATTCTCAGAAACACCTTTGGTTGAATACTGCCCTGAGACCTTCATTTTGGGCATATTGTAGGTAATTAGGCTACCTTTGTAATAGTGTGGAACAATTAAAGCAGTTCTGCCTGGTTCTGGTACAGTGATGAATGTAAACCTGGCAACTGAAATTCCATAACATTGCTTCATTTGAAGTGATCCAAAAGGTCTTGAATATGATTATTTAATTTTTAGAAAGTATTGCTATAGAAAGCCAATGTTTAAAACTTATCAGAAATGAAATCGATGAGAATCCATCAGAAGATTAGCATGCTCCTGAAAGCCTGATGTGAAAAATAAGGATTCTAGATATAAATGAAAAAGGAATTGGTTAATGGAATGAAGATATTTGTTCCAGAATGTTCTAGGAATTTCCTGGTGTATAGCCTCCGCTAGCTAGCAAGCAGTGGCAGAGTGGAAGGGAAAGCATATCAGGGCAACGCTGCCCATAGATGGCAGGGAATGTTTGAACAGTTCTTCAGCCTGTGGCTGGGACAGAACAGACTGTCACAGAGCATGAGCCCTAGTGATCAAAACCACTGAAGCGAGCTGCTCTAAAGTAAAGTTCAAAGGATAAACACCACCTGTGAGTTTCTTAGAAATGAAAAAATTATCCAAGTGGGCATTTGACCTGGTGATTAATATGCTGGATGAGGGGGCTGGCGCCATGGCTCACTTGGTTAATCCTCCGCCTTGAGGCGCCAGCATCTCATATGGGCGCCGGTTCTAGTCCCGGTTGTTCCTCTTCCAGTTCAGCTCTCTGCTGTGGCCCGGGAGTGCAGTGGAGGATGGCCCAAGTGCTTGGGCCCTGCACCCGCATGGGAGACCAGGATAAGCACCTGGCTCCTGGCTTTGGATCAGCACAGCACTGGCTGTAGCGGCCATTTGGGGGTGAACCAACGGAAGGAAAACCTTTTTCTCTGTCTCTCTCTCTCTGTCTATAACTACCTGTCAAATGGAAAAAAAAAAAAAAGAGATGCTGGATGAGACACTCACATCCCATATCAAAATGCCTGCATTTGAGTCCCAAAATAGATCCCAAATCTAGTTTCCTGCTAATGTGTACTCTGGGATGCAGCAGGTGATGGCTCAAGTGGTTGGGTCCCTGCCACCCACATGGGAGACCTGGATTGAGATCCCAGCTCCTGATTTTCTTGCAGGCATTGGAGATGACCCAGAAGATGAGAACGCTCTGTGTGTTCGTGTGTGTGTGCGTGCGCACCTGTGACTGTGACATACCAAATGCTACCTTTTAAAGAATAAAAAGAACTGCAAATTATCAGCTCTCCCCTGACATGTAGTCAGGAAACTGGAGTTTGGGCCTGGGTATCTGGGTCTCAACAAGCTCCATGGGAGATTCTGATACACTCTAAAGCTGGAGAAACACTGCTTTAAAAAGTGACTCAAGAATGAAGAATTGGGGCCAGCGCTGTGACTTAGCAGGTGCCAGCATCCCCCTTGGCCTGAAAATTATGCTTTAGAAGGGAGAAAATTTCTGGGAAACTTTGGTATATTATGACAGTTCAAGTTCTTGCCCGTGAGTTTCTTTGAAATGAAAAATTTTCCAATTGGGCATGTGACAGGCAGAGTGGACAGTGAGAGAGACAGAGAGAAAGGTCTTCCTTTTGTCGTTGGTTCACCCTCCAATGGCTGCTGCAGCCGGCACGCTGCTACCAGCACACCGCGCTGATCTGAAGCCAGCAGCCAGGTGCTTCCTCCAAGTCTCCCATGGGGTGCAGGGCCCAAGTACTTGGGCCGCACTCCCTGGCCACAGCAGAGAGCTGGCCTGGAAGAGGGGCAACTGGGACAGAATCTGGTGCCCCATGGGGACTAGAACCTGGTGTGCCAGTGCCGCAGGCGGAGGATTAGCCTAGTGAGCCGCGGCGCCGGCCAAGTTCTTGCCTCTTGACAAAATTCCACAATCTGAATCTGAAGGAACTATCTTCCCCATTGCTTTGAAAAGAAGAAAACAAACTAAAGTGAATTCCTTAAAAAACTAAATGAAATCAGAAACATTCTCCCTCAGGCAGTACATAATGAACTAGTAAGAGCTGAAAGAAAAGGGATTTGTTACACATAACTGAAAAAGATTAGTATCCAAAATATATTAAAGGAATTTTTTTTTTTTTTAAAGTGGGAAACAGGCTGGCATTGTGGTGTAGTGGGGAAAGCCGCTGCCTGCAGTGCCAGCATCCCAATAGGCGCTGGTTTGAGTCTCAGCTGCTCCACTTCCGATCCAGCTCTCTACTATGGCCTAGGAAAATCAGTGGAAGATGGCCCAAGTCCTTCGGCCCCTGTACCCACGTGGGAGACCCAAAAGAAGCTCCTGGCTTCAGACTGGCCCATCTCCAGCTGTTATAGCCATTTGGAGAATGAACCAGTGTATGAAAGACCTCTCTCTCTCTTTCTGCCTCTGCCACTCTAACTCTGCCTTTCAAATAAATAAATAAATCCTTTAAAAAATGGTAAACACCATTCAATATAAAAATGGGCAACAGGTCAGCATTGTGGCCTAGTGGGTTAAGTCTACCTGCAACACCCGCATCCCATATTAACACCTGTTCGATTACTAGCTGCTCCACTTCTGACTCAGCTCTCTGCTAATGTGCCTGGGAAGGTACTGGAAGATGGCCCAAGTACTTGGGCCCCTGTGCCCAATTGGGAGACCTGAATGAAGCTCCTGGCTTGGGCCTGGCCCAGCCCTGGCCACGAAGGCCATTTAGATAATGTACCAGCGGATGGAAGATACCTCTTGCTGTCTGTCTTTTTCTCCCTTTCTGTCTATACTCTGCCTTTCAAATAGATAGTTAAATCTTTTTAAGAATAAAAACAGTTATTCCCCAAAAATATCTTTAAAGGGGGGAAGGCAACAGATTCTTCAATAGCCAATGAAGGCATGAAAATACGTTCAGTGTTGTCATAATTTAGTAAAAATATTAAAACCACAGTGAAATACCATTTTTCATCCATCAGAATGGCCAAAAATAAAAACTCATAACCCCTACAATTACCAAGGATGAGAAGCAACATCAATCATCATGTGGTATATCTTTTAGGAAAATAAGTTGGTGCAGTCACTTTGAAACTAATTTAATCTTGTCCAATAAAGTTGAATGTAGGAATGCCCTTTTCCCAGCAATCCATTCCTAGGTTTGACACCTTGGAGAAACTCTTGCACAAGTATACCAGGAAATAGGTAACAAAATTGTTTATAGCTGAGAAATAGAGGGGCAGGATATGGGTAGCTTATGTGTCCATTTACATGATAGAATACTATATAGAAATGAACTTGAAAGAAGTATAAGCATCAACTCAGAACAATAAATGAAAAACAGCAACAGTGAAGGTTTTTTACTATGTGAGTCCATTTACATAAGTACAAAAAGGCAGAGCTGGGGCTGTGGCATAACGGGTAAAGCCACCTCCTGCAGTGCCGGCATCTTGTATTGGCGCTGGTTCGAGTCGTGGCTGCTCCACTTCTGATCCAGCTCTCTGCTATGGCCTGGGAAAGCAGTAGAAGATGACCCAAATCCTTGGGCTCCTGTACCTGCATGGGAAGACCTGGAGGAAGTTCCTGGCTCCTGGGTTTGGATCAGCATAACTCCAGCTGTTGCGGTCAACTGGGGAGTAAACCAGCAGATGGAAGACCTCTCTCTGTCTCTCCCTCTCTCCTCTCCCACTCTCTCTCTCTTCTTTTCCCTCTCCCTCTCTGTCTGTGTCTGCCTCTCCTTCTCTCTCTGTGTAACTCACTTTCAAATAATATTTTTTAAAGGCAACTGTTAAGCATATGTCTGTACAGGGCAAAACTATAAAGGGAAGCAAGAGAATGATTAATTCAAAATTCAGTATGATGGCTACTTTGGGGAAGGAAATGAAACTAGAGAGTAAATATGAGTGTCCTATTACTGTTCTATCTCTTCAGCTGGGCAGTGTGCTCATGAATGTTTATTCTTTTTTTTTTTTTAAATATATTTTTTGGGGCCGGCGCCGTGGCTCACTTGGTTAGTCCTCCACCTGTGGCGCCAGCATCCCATATGGGCGCCGGGTTCTAGTCCTGGTTGCTCCTCTTCCAGTCCAGCTCTCTGCTGTGGCCCGGGAGGGAAGTGAAGGATGGCCCAAGTACTTGGGCCCCTGCACCTGCATGGAAGACCGGGAAGAAGCACCTGACTCCTGGCTTCTGATTGGCATAGTGGCCATTTGGGGAGTGAACCAACAGAAGAAAGAGAAGGAAGGCCTTTCTCTCTGTCTCTCTCTCACTGTCTAACTCTTTCAAATAAATTATATATATAATGAATATTATATATTATATATATAATATATATTATTATAATAATATATAATATATATAAATTATATATTATATATATAAATTATATATATAATAATATATATTATATATATTATTATATATATATTATTTGAAAGAATTACAAAGAGAGAGGCAGAGAGATAGCTATCTTCTATCTACCGGTGCACTCCCTTGATGGCCACAATGACTGGGGCTGGGCCAGGCCAAAGCCAGAAGCCAGTAGTTTAATCTGGGTCTCCTGTCTTCCACAGCTTTCCTAGGTGCATTAGCAGGGAACTGGATCAGAAGTGAAAGAGCCAGGCCTCAAACTGACAATCATGGGTGCTGGTATTGCAGGAAGCATCTTAACCCATTACACCATAACACCAGCCCCATTTTATTATTCTTCAAGCAACACTTAAAAACATGCTTTGTCTCATAGATTTCACTTGGGAATAAGGAAAAGCAATTTTGGGAGTAAGTTCTTTAGTCTCCAAATAATGTTGTTCCAAATATATAGCACTTGGGTTGCATATAGTATTGCCTTTGCTCCTAATATCTCCTTCCTATCATACTGCCCATTAGAGTGCCATATTAATAGAGTATCCATTGAATTATGACCCATACTATAACTCTTTGAGAATACGGGAGAAGATGTCAAAATAATTAAAATTTTTAATTTTATTTTTCCAAGAATGTTTTGAAGTACCCTTGTATTAAGATTGGGTCATATTGTTCTTCAAAAAGTTGATTAAAACAAATGTACTTGAAACATACTATACTGAAACAAAACATTCTGGTATAGTAATTTGAAAGTCATTGATGAGAAAAAAATATTTTGGCACATGTTATAATTCTTCTTTCTAAAATTCAGTCATCAGAAATTCTATCAAGTAGCTATTTTTAAAAATGCATGGGGCCTCCCCTGTGATGTAGCAGTGCCGGCATCCCATATAGGTGCCAGTTCAAGACCCGGCTGTTTCACTTCTGATCCAGCTCTCTGCTATGGGCTGGGAAAGCAGTAGAAGATGGCCTAAGTCTGACCTGGAAGAAGCTCCTGACTCCTGGCTTGAGATGGGCACAGCTCTGGCCGCTGTGACCAGTTGGGGAGTGAACCAGCGGATGGAAGACCTCTTTCTCTCTCTGCCCCTCCTTCTCTCTCTGTGTAACTCTGACTTTCAAATAAATAAATACATCTTTTTAAAAATGCATATAATTGGTAGAGAGACAGAGCTCCCATCTGCTGGTTCATTCTACAAATGCCTACAGCTGCTGGTGCTGGGCTAGGCTGGAGCAGGGAGCCAGAATCCAGTCCAGGTCTCCCTTGTGGGTGGCAGGCACCCAACTACTTGAGCTATCACCCGCTGCCTCCCAGACTGCACATTTCCAAGAAGCTAGAATTGGGAGTAGAGCCAGGACTTGAACCCTGCACTCTGGTATGGAATGTGGGCATCCCAACTACCAGCTTAACTGCTAGGCCAAATACCTGCCCTAAGTAGCTATTCTAATGGATTTGAATTTTCTTCTCTCATTTTTTGTCCTCCAATTGATTTGTTGTCATCAATAAATGGCCAATTGTAAAGGTACCAAATGATCCATAGAAAAGGGTGATATGTGATAGATATTCAAAGAATATATGGCACATGTAAATTACATTTCATTTAACCTATTATTAGTTCTAAGTAGTTGGAGGTGACATAATAATTAAAATGTTTTGTTTCTTCTCTCCACAGCTTTAAGAAAAGTAGAAATCACTTCTGACTCTACCGAATAGCAAGCGTTAAGCGATTGCCTACACTGCCAAATCATGGCATTACCGTTCCGGAAGGACTTGGAGAAGTACAAGGACCTTGATGAAGATGAGCTCCTTGGGAATCTGTCCGAAGTGGAACTGAAACAACTGGAAACTGTTCTGGATGATCTTGATCCTGAGGTAGGTACTGACTGGTAAAGACAAATGAAATAACTGTTCAGATCGTTTGACGCTAGGTAGCTGCCTTAAACAGCTTTTTCGTGACACTTCCCAGGCACCTTCCCACCACTTCCTCCTTTTCATCCAAGTGAACTTCAGTTTTGCTTCCTCTATGGTTCTCCAATTTCTGCCTCCATATATTTATGAGGTGACTATTGCAAACTACCTTCTGTAATAGCCTTATTTTCAGACATCTCCTGGGATTTTTTTTCTCTTCTAAGAAATCTTTTTCTCTGCAGAGAGAGCAATGTTTTTAGTGAAATGGCAGCAGATCATTCACTCTTCGATACATACCAACCTCTGTGTCTCTTGAGAGCTTCCACACCAGCATGTATTACCTTCAGAAGGTTCTCTGTGACCTTAACCCTGACTGTTGCCTTTCTAAAAGAGGCTGATCAAATTGAGTAAGAATCTAGTCATTGATAGGTTAGATTTAAGTAATCTAAGCAATACTACCATTGACTGTAGAGCAGACCTAAATACAGATGTTCCTCCTTGACTTAAAATTTAAGCTTAGAGGCCGGCGCCGCGGCTCACTAGGCTAATCCTCCGCCTAGCGGCGCCGGCACACCGGGTTCTAGTCCCGGTTGGGGCGCCGGATTCTGTCCCGGTTGCCCCTCTTCCAGGCCAGCTCTCTGCTGTGGCCAGGGAGTGCAGCGGAGGATGGCCCAGGTGCTTGGGCCCTGCACCCCATGGGAGACCAGGAAAAGCACCTGGCTCCTGGCTCCTGCCATCGGATCAGCGCGCCGGCCGTGGCGGCCATTGGAGGGTGAACCAACGGCAAAGGAAGACCTTTCTCTCTGTCTCTCTCTCTCACTGTCCACTCTGCCTGTCAAAAATAAATAAATAAATAAATAAATAATAAAAAAAAATTTAAGCTTAGATAGACCCATCATAAGTTAAAAAAAATGTTAAATCAAAATGTGTTGAATACACCTACATTAAAAATGCTCAGACTCTTACGCTGGCCTATATTGGGCAAAATCATCTAACACAAAGCATGTTCTATAATAAAGTGTTGACTACTTCATGTAATTTGTTGAATAATGTACTGAAAGTGAAAAACAGACGGTTGTGTGGGTACACTTTTGCACCATCTTAAAGTTGAAAAATCTTAAGCCAGACCATCATGAATTGGTTATCATCTGCATACATATGTTTGTTATAATCTGAAAAGGGTTAAGAATCTCTGTTTTAGTTCATTGTAATGTTGTTTGTTTTATAAATTACAAAGAACCCTTGAATGCGTTTTGTGATCTGTGGGAGGGAGGTAGTGAGGAAACAGCTTGAAGGTAATGATTATTTGCTAGACTCTGCTTTACCATGTGTTTTTTATGCTGAGATACTGACTTTAAGTGTTATTTAAGAATGGAGTTGAGTTTATACTTCTTGTTACTGGATGATGTATCTGTACCACAGATCAAATCCCTTGATAATTACGTAATTACTTTTATAAGGAAAAGCTCCTAGTATGTCTAAGTTTGGGGGAATTAGGATATACAGTGCTGTTTTTCATGTTTTTTTTTTTTTTTAAAGATTTTTATTTATTTATTTGAAAGGCAGAGGGAGAGGGAGAAAGACAGAGAGATCTTCCATCTGCTGGTTCACTCCCCAAATGGCCCCAACAGCTGGGGTGAGCCAGGCAGAAGCCAGGAGCCAGGAGCTTTCTCCGGGTCTCCCACGGTGCTGGGGCCTAAGAACTTGGTCCATCTTCCACTGTATTCCCAAGTGTATCAGCAGAGAGCTGGATCAGAAGTAGAGCGGCTGGGACAAGAACTGACACCCATATGGGATGCCAGCACTGCAGATGGTGACTTAACCAGCTGTGCCACAGCATCGGCACCACAGTGCTGGTTTTGACATGGCGTGGCAATGTATTCTACAGGCATTCAGTCTAATAGACTTAATTAAATGATTTTAGAACTGGAAAGAACATGAGAGTTCATCTAGTCCAGAGTTTCTCAACCTTGGCACTACTTGGGGCTCTATAATTTGTTATTGTGGGGGCTATCGTGTGCATTGAAGGATGTTGCTCAGTATCCCTGGCCTCTGTTCACTGACAGGACAGTGTCATTCCTCTCTCTTTTAAACATTGTTTGGGGTATGTTTTAATCCAGCTTAGTAAAATGACAGAGACAGCTTCCTTGATGAAGAGTTTACTACTTACAGCTCCCAAGAACAGAAGGCACATGGGCTCGAGGATCAGAGGCTTATGGGCCGGTACCCTGGTCTGTCAGGAGGCTGAAGAACAAGGAGCAGGCATGGCCCATAGCCTTTAGTGTGGTTTCTTTTCTTTGTTTTTTGTTTGTTTGTTTGTTTTTGTTGTTGTTGTTGTTGTTTTGTTTTTTGACAGGCAGAGTTAGAGAGAGAGAGAGAAAGGTCTTCCTTTTCTGTTGGTTCACCCCCCAAGTGGCCACTACGGTTGGCGCTGCACCGATCCGAAGCCAGGAGCCAGGCGCTTCCTCCTGGTCTCCAATGGGGGTGCAGGGCCCAAGGACTTGGGCCATCCTCCACTGCCCTCCCAGGCCACAGCAGAGAGCTGGACTGGAAGAGGAACAGTCGGAACAGAATCTGGCTCCCCAACCAGGGCTAGAACCCAGGGTGCTGGCACCGCAGGCGGAGGATTACCTAGTGAGCCACAGCGCTGGCCTCTTTAGTGTGGTTTCTTCAAGGAATGGATGGATGAGGCAAGTTTAGGGTTGGAGAATTTGAATAATTTTAGAAGGCCTCAGGGCTTTTTAATTTGTCCGTAGTTGCCTCCTGCCTGGCCCTGTGGTGATCTAGGGCAGAGGAAATACTGCTTTAGTATGTGAGACATAGCTAAAGGAAATAATTGGGGTTCTGAACCTTGGATTGGTTGGTTTGTATATGAAGGGTGTGCTCAAGGGAGAGAGGACTGGAGGAGTTGGAGATAATGTGGTCTCTAGGAATTAGCCAGTGCTGGGAGGGGTAGTCTCTCCAGGATTAGTAAGGCCTCCAAAATGTCAAAGTATCATAAAATACTGAGAATAAAAAACGTGATTAATAGTCCCACCCTGCAGTTAGGACAACCAAAAATGTCTTCAGACATATCCAGATGTCCACTGGGAGGTCAAAATGCACCTGGTTGAGAAACCTTAATTTATCTTTTATTTAAAACAAAAGATAGATTACAGGCCTCAGTTATTATGACTATGGAAAGAACTAAGACTAAATCTCTCACTACCTACTTGATAGCTGGCAGTGTCTGGTTTTGTTAAACTATAGTGACTCCCTTTTTAATTCATGCACTGTGGTATCAGTCTGTAATCTGATGACTTACATTTTCTTATTTGTAAATCCATGGCTGGCTGGCTTCTCATAAGAAAAACTTTGAGTTCTAACCCCTGAGTGTATTTTGCAAATTCTCCAACCCTGATTCCAACTCCACCAAGCTCAGACATCATTAATTGAGACTAGGAAAACAGTGATCTTTACTCACAGCCTTAAACTTTACTTGACAGCATGACAACATTTTTTTTCACCAGCTAATGGAACTTTATTTTTTTCTTTTCTTTTTTTTAACTTTTATTTAATAAATATAAATTTTCAAAGTACAGTTTATGGATTACAATGGCTTCCCCCCCCCCCATAACTTCCTTCCCACCCACACGTTTCCCATCTCCTGCTCCGTCTCCCATTCCATTCACATCAAGATTCATTTTCATCCTTTTTTTTAAAATATTTATTTATTTATTTGAAAGTAAGTAAGAGTTACACAGAGAGAGGAGAGGCAGAGAGAGAGAGAGGTCTTCCATCTGCTGGTTCACTCCTCAGTTGGCCACAATGGCTGGAGCTGCGCCAGTCTGAAGCCAGGAGCCAGGAGCTTCTTTCGGGTCTCCCACATGGGTGCAGGGGCCCAAGGACTTGGGCCATCTTCTACTGCTTTCCTGGCCTTAACAGGGAGCTGGATCAGAAGTGGAGCAGTCATGACTCGAACTGGTGTCCATATGGGATGCTGGTACCACAGGCAGTGGCTTTACCTGCTACGCCACAGCACCACCCCTAACAGCATGTTTTTGAAGAGTTCCAGTAAAGCAATAGGTAAGAAAAGAGGGTCAGAGATTTAGAAGCTGCTTCATCCAAAGAAACACCACTGTAACGTATAAAGTCTCAGAAGGTAGTGTCAGAGAAGGTGAAAGTGTGTGTGTGGTGCCTTATTATATTGGAGGGTGATTTTATTGTCTTCATGCTGCGTTCAGTGCATGTTTCTAACTTACTGCATTTTCATAAAACAGATTCACATGACAGGCAGCCTATGCAGTTAACTTTTTTTTTTTTCCTATTTCCAAGGCTAAAAATATATAGTTACAACAAAATTTCACTGCAAGGAGAAGCGTGTCATTTTTAGTGGCAGTCATATTAATGAGATTTTTATCTGTTAAATATGATCTGTTCGCTTTCACTTGATTAGAATATACTTTCTAATGAAGCTTGGTTCAAAGTCCCTAAAACCGTTCTGTCTTTTGTGGTCATAACTGTATTTAAGGAGCCAGAATTGAGCTAACATTTTAAAACTGCAGGGAGGTGGGATAACACAATTCTGTCACCCTGGTGATATGTATGTATAACACAATACATACATGCATGCCTTGTTGATGAAGAAAACTAACTTTATTATTGACCATTTTTTCTTCAAAAGTAGTCTGAAATCTTTTTATTCCATCTATATTTTGGGGGAAATCCACACATCTCAGGTACTGTGCTAGGGTTAATGGTACAAAAGGGAGGAATACAAGTGTGGTAGGTTAAGCCTCTGCCTGCAGCATTGCCACTTCATATGGGCACCGGTTCAGGTCCCAGCTGCTGCACTTCCAGTCCAGCTCCCTGTGCCCGGGAAAGCAGCAGAAGATGGTTCATGTCCCTGGGCTCCAGCCACCCATGTGGCAGACCCAGATGAAGTTCCTGGCTCCTGGCTTCAGCCTGGCCCAGCCTCAGCCATTGAGGCCATTTGGGGAGTGAACCAGTGAACAGAAGATCTGTCTCTTTCTGTATCTCTGCCTTTGAAGTACATAATTTTTTAAAAATGATACAGGTAGGTAGGAATGGAAGGAATTAGAGTTTAATCAAGTAACCATACCATATTAAAATAATTGTGAGCACTCTAAGTTGGAAGATTATGGTAAAGGTTCAGGGAAAGCTTCCCTCAGAGGAATGGAGCTGCCGTTTGAAAAATGAGTAGCAACAAGGGATGAACAGCGTTCCAGGGAAGGGGGGACCACATATAGAAAGGCCTGTGGTGGAAGGAAGTGTGCAGTGTCTTCACAAAGTTCGTGGAAATGCTTATGAAAACAGCATAGATTTCAAAAAAGCTTTACACCAGAATAAGACCTTGTAATTCCATTTTTCTATGAAACTTATGAAGTACCTGTGAGTATAGCAAGAAGGGGAAAAGATAAAGTGTGAATAGAATGGGGGAGGAAGTGTATGAGATGAGGCAAGGTAACAGATTGAGCTGGTGGGAGTGAGGGATGAACAATATCAGGCAACTGACTGATCCAGAGAGGGCAGCTGGGAGGCTCATGTGACATTCCAGCCAAGCTTGAGACATAGCCTGCACAAAGGTACCAAAGTAATGGTGTTGGGAGATGGGGAAAAGATAACTGGAGTTCTTTGGAAAGTAAGAATCAGCGGAACCTGCAGGTTGATTGAGCATGGATTCTTCCTGTGTAGTTCTTGTTTGGAGAATTCTGAAGGTGGAAACTTCGTGTTTCTTTTTTACAATGCCATAGACTACTATATTATAAAACATACGCAGTATGTATAAAGTTAGGAAGAGACCTCTTTTATGTTTCTTCTTTATAGGTCAGCTCTCTATGTGACAAGTATATGTAAATGGGAATGCAAAGGTGAATTTTACGAAAATGGTTATGGGTCTCAGCAATTGTCCGAAATTTAAGTGCCATGTTTTCTAGTTATGAAATGTAAATTTCCTGTTATAATTAGCCATATAAAATCACCCTTTATAATGAAAAATTATCTTATACCACCCATGAGATTAACCATTACTGCCAATATTGTAAGATATAAAACAGGATTGGCCCTTTTGTACTCTCTGGCTGCCTCCCATTTGCTAAGCTAAGGAATACCCAGAAATATGAGAAAAGGCAGTACTACCTCTTTGGCTTTTGACAAAAATGTGGTGCTCACTTTGTCTAGCTACCTCTTATTATTCCTGGTTTAATGAGAATTCAAAGTAGGGACTCCAGGAGACAACTTTAATCAATTACCATGTACCCTACCCTCCACTCCTAGTCTCTGTGCCCTCCAAAAGGCTACACACACATGGAAACCCAGGGACATTAGCTTTGGCTCCGAATAACTTAGGGATGTCTTGGCAATGGCAGCAGCTGTTGCAAATACATCCTGGTGCTTGTGTATATGCACATGCATGCACACGGAAGTAAAAACATTCACATTGAACTTAAACACAGTCAGGTAAATATTAACTTCCTGATATACTGCATGGTAAACATGAGAAAGTCATTATGAAATGCAAGTCATTGGGGCCAGTGCTGTGGCGCAGTGGGTTAATGCCCTGGCCTGAAGCACCAGCATCCCATATGGGTGCCGGTTGGAGACCCGGCTGTTCCACTTCCGATCCAGCTCTCTGCCATGGCCTGGGAAAGCAGTAAGAGATGGCCCAGGTCCTTGGGCTCCTGCACCCACGTGGGAAACTCAGAAGAAGCTCCTGGGTCCTGACTTTGGATCAGCACAGCTCCAGCCATTGAGGCCAACTGGGGAGTGAACCATTGGATGGAAGACCTCCTTCCCTCTCTTCCTCCCCCTCCCTCCTTCCCTCCTTCCCTCTCCCTCTCTCTCTCTGCCTCTCCTCTGTGTAACTCTTACTTTCAAATAAATAAATTAGTCTTTAAAAAAAAAAGGAAATCCAAGTCATTATGAAGAAATGTCATGCATGTAGTCATTTATTGGATTTATTCTCAGTATATTCATGTATACTGAGTAGTTATTAAGCATTAAAAAATTATATTTTATTACCTTCCTAAAGAGTGTTTCCTGCTAGTAGAATACTTTCTGGGGGGAAAAAGTGTTTTTGCTTATTTTATTAATAAATGAATTTTACCTGATAAAAATCTTTGTTTTTGCTTCCCTAAAATCCTGCAATTAAGTGTCAATGCCTGTATCACATCTAGTGTGTAATTCTCTCTGATATGGGTAATCTGTTGAAGCATAGAGCGTTGGCGTTCTTGGCAGTCACAATGGCTGATTCATTCTCTCTGGCAGAATGCCCTTCTGCCTGCAGGGTTTCGGCAGAAGAACCAGACATCAAAGTCTGCCACGGGGCCGTTTGATAGAGAACACCTCCTGTCATATCTAGAGAAGGAAGCACTGGAGCATAAGGACAGGGAAGACTATGTCCCCTACACTGGAGAAAAGAAAGGTAAGCCCCGCCTTGGGAGATCATTTAGCTGCTAGCACTTGATTTTTCTTTCTGTAGGAGGATTTCAAGAGAATAATATTTCTAGAGGCACATCATTGGTAGCCTTAAAGAAATGGTATTGTTGACTTGAAAACGTGTTAGGTAGTTGATTTACATTTTTCATCAACTTGGCCAGTAAGTTTCTTTTAAAGTATTCATTAGTGAGATTTTTATTGTACAATGATTTTGTATAACCCTCCTTAGTTCTGTAGTGCCACAAATCTGGCTACTGCAACACAGTGCTTGTCAAATTCTTGAGAAGGACTTCCTTCCCAAATAAGAAGCCAAAGTCTCAAAAGGAGAATGAAGACACTGCACTCCAATCCACTTTTCCTGCCTAGACTGCTGTAATTCAGATGTAAAAACAGGGCCTGGAAGCGTGCTGAGATGAAGTTTTAAATCTGTTGGTGTATTACAGAGTACAGAGAAAGCAAAGCACTGCTCAGCTCTGATCCTGTCTGTAAAGCAGAAATTGTCATGCCATATTTTCAAAGATGTGCTGCAGCCTTCCCTAGTGATTCATGATTGTAATCGCTAGTGCTTCCTGATCATTGCTTTCAGGAATTGTTTTTAGTCCAAGCCCCACCCATTACAGTGTCTGATCTTACATATCCTCAGTGCAGACTGAACACAGCTCTATTTTTGAAAATTCTGTATGTGACTTACAGTGTCAGTCCCTCCACTTTCATAACTGGGCAGAATACAGGTTGACCTAGAAAGCCAACTTTTGCCTGTAGTCTTGTTTGGGATGAGAGGTACAAGTCCTGGCAAGTGGTGGCAAGCAGTAACACAGCCACACACCAGCTCTTCCAGGCCCTGTTTTTACATCTGAATTACAGTGTTCTAGGCAGGAAAAGTGGATTGGAGTGCAGTGTCTTCATTCTCCTTTTGAGACTTTGGCTTCTTATTTGGGAAAGAAGTTCTTCTCAAGAATTTGACCAGCACTGTGTTGCAGTAGCCACTCTTTAGCTGCAAGGGAAGCTGGAAAATTCTCATTTCATTCTGGAGCCATGCCAAGGCTGATTGTTGGTCAGTAATGCACAGGTCTGCATCAGGCTTTTTCAGAAGTATTTATCACTGCAGCTCCTGTGCTCCTTGCTTAGATTCTAACTCCCCTTCATGTGTGGTTGAGGATCACTGCCTCTGCTACTTGTCGTTAGGTTTCTCCAGAGGAACAGAACTAGCAGGATGTGAAGAGAGAGAGATTGAGATTGAGATTAAGTTAAAGAATTGGCTCTCATAGCCATGAAGGCTTTAGATAAAAATATAAAATCCAGCAGGCTGGAAGCCCAGTGGAGAGCTACAGTTCATGTCTAAAGGCAGTCAACTGACAGAATTTTTTCTTACATGGTAGGTAAGATCAGACTATTCTACCCAGAATTGTACCTCATTGAATGAGGCCCACCTGTGTTTTGGAAGATTATCTGCTTTACTCAGAGTCCTTGGATTTATTATTATATTTAAATTATTTATTTATTTTCTCTTTACTTGAAAGGCAAGGAGACAGAAAGAGACAGCTTCCATCTGCTGGTTCACTCCCCAAATGCCTGTAACACCTGGGGATGGGCCAGGCCAAAGCCAGGAGCCCAGAAGTCCAGTTCTCCCACATGGGTAGTAGGAACCCAAGTATTTGAGCTATCATCTGGTCTCCCTGGGTATGAATTAGCAGAAAGCTGGATTGGAAGTGGAATAGATGGAAATTAAACCCAGGTACTGCAGTAGAGAATATGAGTGTCTTATTTAAGTTTTAGGTGGATAAGAAATAAATGGAGTAGTTATAAAAGAAATAATTTTTCATTCATGGACAGTAGTTTTTCATTTTATAACACATTCAGTATTTTTACTACATGCATTTTAGCTATGTTTACCTGCTAAGTACTGTTTCTGGGTAGTATGATGTTTAAGACCATGCCATGGGGCACATGCTGTGGCGTAGCGGGTAAAGCTGCTGCCTGCAGTGCTAGCATCCCATATGGGCACTGGTTTGAGTCCTGGCTGCTCCACTTCCCATCCAGCGCTCTGCTATGGCCTGGGAAAGCAGTAGAGGATGGCTCAAGTCCTTGGGCCCATGCACCCACTTGGGAGACCTGGAAGAAGCTCCTGGCTCCTAGATTCGGATCAGCGAAGCTCCAGCCATTTCCACCATTGGGGAGTGATGGAAGATCTCTCTCTTTCTCTCTCTCTGCCTCTGCCTCTCTGTAATTCTACCTTTGAAATAAATAAATAAGATATTTTTAAAAAAGACCATGCCATTTTTATTTCCTATAGAAAATGCACAAGTGGTAAGTACATGACAAACTATGAAGTGAACATAGTTTTGTAATCAGCTCTCCAGTCAAAACATCTGCATCTCTAGAACACCTCAATTCACGCCAATTCCTTTTTCCTTTCCTTTTTCAAAGATAACCACCAACATAGTTTCTAATATAGTAGATGAATTATGCCTGCCTTGAACGTTATATAATAATGAAATCATATGGTTTGGGCATTTGCTTTGCTGTCATGTGAGGACCAGACTTGTTAATAGGTACAATGAAATCACTGTGAAGGGTCAGATGAGTGATTATTACCAAACAAGAGATGGCCATTCTGGCATGGAGGACCAGCCCAGAACCACAGACATGAGTTTCAGCAATCCATCTGATGAAAGCAAATGCTACCAAACCGGACAGAGTCAACTTTATAAGCCATATCACAATGCCATAGACCTGAAGAGGAACAAATTCCTCTTGAGAAATTGAGGAACTTGGCTATAGAGAGCTCTGCTTTGAAATAAAGTAAAAAAGCAGCTGCAGTATTCTCAAATCCACCCTAGACTCTCGTCCTTAAATCAGTTTTGTTATCCTTGGTCTCTAATATGCATTGCTTTCTTACATCTTATCTCCAGTATCCTGATCACGTAGGAGATCCTTGGATTAATCCAGCTACATCTTATTGGCATTCTTGTTCCTTGTATGCCTCTTCATGATAAATGTGAAACCTTTCCTTTACTTCAAAAATCTGAAAGCTTATTTTCATAAGATGCCTTGCCCATGACTCTTTGTCCTGATCACCTGGATTGTTTCCCACATTTTTACTTAATAGCTTATTTTGGAGAAAACAGACTTTCAGATTGAGAATATTTGTCCATATAGTAGAGGTCCTCCTAGTTTTTCATAAAACAGTTCGCAAATCTACCTTGGTAGATAAACAGAAACATTTAACTTTTTTGATGTATTGGGCAATTTAGAATTAATGATATGTGTATTGATCTCTAAACTAAATGATTTTCATACAAGATTACTGGCCCTAGAATTCAGTACTTGATGGCAGTTTGAGTTTTCTGAACCAGAGAATGTTACAGTAATATCACCAAGTTCCTTGAACTCCTTCCAGATTATATGCCAAAATCACATTGTAATTTTTTAAAAATTTTTATTTAAAAATTATTTTATTTTATTTGAAAGGCAGTTAGAGATCTTCCACCCAGGAGCCCAGAACTCCATCTCCCATAAAACTGAAAATTGGACATTTTGGGATTTTTTTCTTTTGGGCAAAAACAAAAACAATATATTCATGTCAGTTTTTCTTTAGATTGTCTCAGAAATGATTTTAAAAAACTGATAGGCCAAGGACACTTAGAAGTTATTATGTATAGGATCCTGCAATAGGCAAGGCTGGGCTAGGCCAAAGCCAGGAACCTGGAATTCAACCCAGGTCTTCCAGTTGGGTAGCAGGATCCAAAGTACTTGAGCTGTCAGCTGTCTGCTGCCTCCTAGGGTACATTTGCAGGAAGCTGGATTGTCAGCAGAGCATCTGGAACTTGAACCTGCACTCCAACAAGGGATGTAGGCATTGCAAATGGTGTCTTTACTACAAAAATGTTAAATTCATCTTAATTACATAAGCTCATGGTAGGAGTGGCATCATACTATCAAGTGATCTTATGGATCAAGATCCATAAGATGTCTTACGAGTCTACTGTTTTTAAAATTTGAGAAACTAATAAAAGTAAAACAATACAATTTCAATATATAGTATGATCCTCTTACTTGAAGATATAATGTTAAAGTGTTGGAAAAGTGCAGCTTTTTACCTGTTTCTCTTTGAAATTTTGCGAAATGTATGACTGAGACGTAGACCAGACAAGGGTGAAGGAGAATATTCATCAGATCTTTCTTGGTCCTGAGAACAGTAAAAATGCACATGGTGCTGACTGTGTAGCTGATTATAATCCTGTTTTTACATGTCATGAGCATTCTCTATCAGAGATAAGGCATCATTTTGCCATGAGTTTGTCACTGGGACAAATGTTTGCCCAGCCTTTAATATTTCTTAGTACCTCTTGATTTGTTTTGCTTCACTTTGCTTGTCTGGAACTCCTCCACACTGTTCCTCCCCATCATACTTCATCTTCACCTAGACTAAGATTTTTTTTCCAGTGCCTCTTATTTCACAGATAGACCAGGCATGGCTGCATGTTAGGCAGTGTGTATGCATAGGTGTGCCATCTAACCCATTTGAACTACTGACTCACCCAGGCTGGGCCCCTCCCTTCCTCACAGGGCACTGTTCTCCTTCTTGGATCTTGGAGTAGAGCCATCTAAACTTCTAGACTTTTCTTTGTGCTGTTTTTACCTTCCCCACCCTGAAAATGGAATGTCCCTGGGTTCATTGCCAAGAATCCTGCATGCCCTACCCTTTTTTAAAGGTGAGTTTAACCAGATTGCCTTTAACTGAGAACTTCTCATAGGCTTTCCAATTTACTTTTTTACAATTACCTTCACATTCCAGAAATCTTCTGGTAGTCACTCTTGTTCTAAAAGAGTCTCCCGCACCTTACGTATGAATGCATGATTTCTTCAATGATGCTTTATTAAGCCAGAAAGATCATGATTAGAAACTGCCTAAATCAGTATTACCTAACTGCCAGTAAGCATTTGGTTTCCACTAAATTCTAAATAAAAATTGGCTCTTATATT